CTTATATCAATAAAGTATATTTAAAAAAATAGTTATTATTAGATTAAAAATATATACTTCAGATAATTTTTGGTTTACCTAAACAATTTTTAATTAGATCTAATATAATTTCTATTAAAGTTCTAAGCTGAATTTTTCGACTGTTAAGTCTGTGATATTTCAAATGTTTTAATAAAATCTCATTAAAAGTAGTAGTGATAATTGTGATAGTTTTGTAGGCTTTTAAGTTTCACATCATTACGTATTAAATACATTTATTTACATTTTATTAATTGCTTAAAATAAACCCGATTAAATATAAGAATAACTAATAATACATGTTGGATGTAGTTGCTGACAGGTTTTCCGCTGGTTTTTATGTAAAAACAATCATTATCTTTAATAATGAATAATAATAAAAGAGCAATATATTTTAACACCTAAAAACACCTGGAGACCATCTGCTGCAAGTTTTGGTTTTCCTTGTGGGAGCACCAGTATGTCCCTCTGTATATATATTCCAATAAAATAATGTTGCCTGATTGGTTAATAATTTAGGACAGATGGTTGGGATAATTGAAAAATGGCAGAACATCAAAAGGGGCACATTTTATCGATATTAAATAATTATAAAAATACATATCGTGCTCTATATATAATGTATAAAGTTTAAAATAATATTAATATATATATTTTTATACATTTATATTTATACTTCTTTTTTAAATAATTTTATATATATATATTATTTGGGCCACTATGAATCCGGTGTGTTTGATTGTAATAAATATATTGATTTTAAACCATCACTTAATAAAGCGTATTCGGATCAGAATAATTAGAGCAATAAACTAATTCAATGACCGGAAAGAGTGTGCTTTCTTTTTCTACATTTTATCGAATAAGTATTTTTTTAACTTCAGTTATTTTATTTTATTTTAATATCTATTTTTAAAATATATTCAAACATATTTTCAGATATCAATTTAAAAATTCAATGTAATGTTTAAGTCATTAACGTTTTAACAATAATCAGTAAATAAACGTAAAAAAGTAATATTATATGATCGAAAGGTAAAATATCGAATAAAATAATTATAATTTCTGAATTAATTAGTCCTTGATTGGTATATATTATATTTAATAGATATATTGTGTATTAATAACTCAATAATTCTTAATAAAATTATGTATACGCTATTTCAATGAAACAATGTTATTTCCAATTATGATTCGACATGTCAAGTATATAACCGGAACAATAAAACTAAGAGGGCGACTATTTTACGTCACGAATTGTTATAACAGACAGTATAACAATTAGAATAAAGATATTTCTTCTGTGCCAATAATCGTACTAGAAATCGCGTGAAAAGATCATTCACCGTTTCTAATTTATCAAATATATTTTTTTTAATATATTTAAATATTTTTTTAATATATTTAAATATTTTTTTATTTATATTTTAATTCATTATGTCTATTTTATATTTTATATATCAAAGTCTATGACATAGACCATATAGTATTTGGGTTTTCTTTTCGGTGCTATTAGATGACTCCATATTAAAAATGATTTAAGCATACAATATATTTTTCTTTTAAATCCTTTTAGTATTTTTTCTAAAACTTATAAGTCTAACTTTTAATTCTAATTTGTGTAATAAATTTTGAAATAAAAGAGTTTAATGAATAAGTTATTACAATTGATTTTCATGTAACACTTTTTACGATTTATTTAGTAAAAAATTGAATGAAAACCAGATCTAAATACTTTTATCATTCAATTTCATATTTTTATACAATAATTTTGTTTTTAAAAATACTAAAATAGCTTACCGGAATATTTCTATAGCAATAAAAATATTTTTTACTACAGCTCAGACTAAAAATATATTGCTACTCTAGATTCTAAACTTTATGAAATATATTTATTTGAAATGTATATATTATGAAATTTTTCTAAAATTTTATTTAATATTATTAAATGTAGATTTTTTGTGATAAATTATTTCCTTTTATGTCCTTTTCACACAGTCTTCCCACCTCAAACTGGGTCTCCCTAAAGGTCCTTTCCCTATAGGCTCTTTTTCTTTAACTTGCTTTATTAGAGATTCTTGCTTACGCCAGGCATGCCCCCCCCCACATGACTTTTCTTTTTGTGATCTTCTTAGCTATATCAGGTCTCTGAAACTGTATTTGGAGTTCATAATTATACAATTTTCTCCATTCATTCGTTTCACTATCAAAGACCGGTTCATATATTTTTCTTAAAACTTTCCTCTCAAATACCCCTTGTCTTTGTTCTTCGGTTTTTTTTAATTCCCACGTCTCAAAACCATACAGGACTATAGGTCGTAATAATGTCATATACATTTTTATTTTTAAATTTTTAGAGATGATTTTAGTATTTTTTCTAATCCGTAGTATCCCTTATTAGCTAATTGTATTCTCGACAACTCCTCTGTCTTAAGTTTATTATCTTGAGTGATAATCGATTCCAGATATTTAAATTGTGGTACTTTTCTAAATGTATGTACTTTATATATATATATATATGCTTAACATAAATATAAAGAATAATATAAATTAATACAAATTTAGCTAGATATGAAAACTTTAATAATTATATGATATAGATAATATTAGATACATCAAACCTTAATTTAACATAAACTATTTAACTCCATCTTCACCTTATTTTATTTAAATGTTCAAAACTAATTTGCTTCTTTATTTAGATACGTAGATTACGATTATAATCTATAGTTTTTCAATATTCAAACTAATAATATTCTTGTAATTGTTAGTACATATTTTTATAAGATATAATTTATTTAGTATTTAGAAAATCATAATATTTGTGATTTATTTCAATTTTAAAATATGGTTTCTCTTCTTTCGTTAAAATCGGTTAAGATATAATAAATAACTCATTTTATGTATAAGTATTGAAATTAAAAATTTTAATTCTAATATATATGTTTTAAAAATTATCACGTCGATTTTCGGGTATGAAGAATATCATATTATTACATCTACATGTTAATTAATCTAAGTAAATATTTATTATGAATAGAAATATTTAAAATGATAAAATAACAAAATAATTTTTATATAATTATTAAAAACAATGTTACTACATTTTTTTAATAGATTTTTATTTCCAACTGTATTTTAGTAAACTTTTGTTGTGAATGCGATGTTTAAAGAATTAAAAACTCAAAAATCTGTAAAAAAACAGTATAGGTATTATTTATTTTAAATAAATTATCTAAACATACTTGTATGATGTAATTCGAATCAACATTTTTCTTAATCATTGAAACTAAATTATATTTACAGAAAATATATTCTTATACTTCTGTACGTGTTTATTTACGTGTGTGTATATTATTTTTCGTTTTTTTATTTTTTTTTTTAATTTTGTCATTGATATCTATGTGAATTATTCTAAAAAATTACGTTACACGTCACTACACATAGTATCGTCTGCAAATACGAATCTCCTGTTTTTCATGCATAAATACAGTGAATTTTGTATAAACCCGGACTTGTAGATAGTCATAATACGTATTCTATATGTGGTCTCATATATGAGGTTTGTATTAACATCACATGTTCATTATATACGTTATTTAATGGTACCAGAACAAATAAATTAGTATTAAATTACTATATTGGGACATATACAGGGGTTGATACAAGAGGGGGTCTATGAGGTTAGAATTTAATATATTCTAAACGATCAAATGTTGAAAGACCTAATCAAATATATGGTAATATAGTTTAGGATAATTATTTTTTACCTTTTATCGATCTTTTTATTTCTCAATTTCAAACAATGTTCAATGAAAAACAGTGAAATATTTTGCTATCAAACTATGATTATTATTATATATTCCCATTTCATGTATACTATTTATGTACTATATAAACTTTAACTCATTGCTTATTGTTTACACGTATTTTTTTCAACTCCCACTTTTTCAGTTGTATAGGTAGTAATCATATTTGTGCTACGTCTATCCGTGATTAGCGAATCATTATCACCAATTTTCTTACTTTCCAACTGCACATATTATATGGTTATTCATTTTTTCCAGTTATACCCAATCGTTTTCCCTTGATGCATTATAACTATGTGTGTAAATGTAACATACACTTATATAGTTATCGGAAGTGTTTTTCTCCCGGGAAAAGCGTCGCGTATATACCTTACACTCGGTTCACCTACAGCCCGAAACCATACGATGGATCTTATCCGCGTATCGTACGAACGCGCCACACAATAGAGAAGGAGATGATGTGCTCTGCACTGGTGGTAGTGGTCGTTTAAACGTACGAAAATAATCGTGGAGGGGGATTAATAATAATAATAAAAATAAAAATATATATATCGGAAGACCGCCAGTGGTGTTGTGGCGGTGGTTGTAGTGGAGGTGGTGGTCAGGAATGCGGGGTCATGGGAACTGAAGTGACTCGGCGGCAGCGGCGGCCATGTTGAATTGATGGAAAATATTATGTCGGAGAGCCTCAATCGTGTTTGGACCGGGGGAACTGTATTTTTTCGGCAGCCCACCGATCAGCAGTCGCTCGTTCGGTTTTTCCGTATCGTTTAATCGTCGTCGTCGTAGCAGTCGTTATCGTTATCGTTGTCTTCGTATTATTATGTATACATTTATGCATTAAACTTTTTACCGCGTATAAAAAGAATAATTATTAGAAATCTCAATTTATACTCGCCGAATATTGTTCATCTGGTTCACCTTATCCATTAGTGCGTCTTTAAGGGCCGAAGGGACCGCTGTCGTGGTCGTTATTGTCCTCAATGACTTAGCGTTTTATTCGCTGAATTAATAACAAAATAAATTTAATTTTACTCCATCTAAACCGGGTATATTCAACCGTATAGGGCAATCAGTCTCACGCGAATACTATTAGCTATTATTTTAACTATATTTGATCGTTTACGTTCGCGTAATAAACTTAAGTGCCGTTATTGTGTTGAACTTTTCCAGACGAAAATCATTCAAGACGTACGTCTTGTGATAATGACACCGAAACGTCGGATTTGGATGTCAATGAATCTGCTAATTACAAAAATCATTGGTCTTCTAGTAGTCATGGTGCCTCTCCAAGCCTAAGGTCAGATTATCAAGTGAGTGAATTTATACATTATTTATCTTCAATATTTTTAATTACATTTCATTTACTTACGATAGAGTTCAGCCGTTTTCTTAAAAATCTACATTACTCTAGCTATTATTTAAGTTTTTAATAAAACCATCAAACTATATTGTTTCTAATAGGAATTTATTGTAGCTTAATCATTAGTATAAAACTTTTATAGTAGTAGCATAAAAAAATTTTTTTGAAGTCAACCTATACATTTTCTGTATTAAACATTTTTTTAATTATAAATTTTTAGTATTTCTTATTAATTTTTTATTGTATATATTTGACATACTCAAATATATGTTGTATTAATTAACAAATTACACTAATATAATCTTACTATACGTTTTCTATTTTATTTACCTTTTAGTAAAATAGTATAGGTAATACTGTATGGAATCAATCTAAATAACACCAATTTAGTTACTTTTTATTGGAGTATAATACAGCTATATGAGCTTATAGCCTTAATTTATCATTGGGAACTTTAACTCGTTAATTGTAAGTTAATATTATTGTCTATTGGTTTTGTTATTAAAAGATCAAGTCACATTCAAAATAAAAAGTACTAAAATTGAGGAATTCACAGTTTATAAACTGCGATTCGGGATCAAAATTATGTAATAAAAATAGAGGTTATTTTCCCTGTTAAAAATCTCAGTTATCGTTCTTATCGTAAAATAATTACCCGCTAGTTCTGACGTATTAAGTATTATAAATAAGTCACTTCATGTTACCTTTTTAAGTGGTGATCCATAGGAAAATATTCAGTCGATATTGACACTGAAACCCAGTTCAATTTAATTCAGTCTTTAATATACGGCTTATTCCGATCGACCCTATCCAAACAATTTGAGGATATCATATGTTCCAAAGTTCCCCGGCCACTAATGTTTTTACTCACACAGTTACATTAAAAACAAAATTTATAAATACTGATTACTAATAAAATTAGAAATACTTTTATATTTAATATAGCAAAATAAATTATGAATCAAATCCATCTCACATACTGCGTACTATATTTTAACTACACTGCTACGTTAATTTAAACTATTATAGTTTTATAAGATGCTATTTTAGAAAAAAAAAAATAAATATTAAAGGAGCTGAGTTATCTTCCAATATAGACTTTATATTTTAAAATTATCTAGATATTTAAAAATACAAGATGATTTTAATCTATAAAAATATTATGATTCATGAAACGTATATTTAAATGCTGTTGAGGATGTTTTTATGTTAATTGTAAAGGTACTCCATCTTTTATTTAATACAATTATTCTTATTTTTAGTATTGGGTTTTTCATAAATTATATTTTAAGTATATATTTTATTGACCTTATAACTTCAAACTAAGTGTTTATAAATACATAGGTACTTATTAATTTATATCGAATTATTATTATTATTTTTTACAGTTTTTTAAATATTTAAGTAAAATTTTAAGTTAACTTTTAAGTAAAATTAAACTATTTTATTTTTTTCACTATGTATTTATACGTAGTTGTAAGTTAGTCAGGTTGTATTTAAACTAAATTTGTTCTTTAATTATATTTCTGTCAGTTATTATGTATTTCAGATATATTCATTCAACAAACTAAATATTTATAATTTTTTTTATTAATCAATTTCCTATTAGTAATTTTTTAAGCAAAGTAAATGCTTAATTTAAGTTCCAATACATTCTAAATAACTATTTAAAAAAAAAAAATTGTATTGTTAGTTAAATTTACCTATTTTGATTATAAATACTGTAAGTTTATTTATATTGTAAATTTAAATAATTTGTATTTTTAAATTGAATAGTATGTTGTGTTTTGAAAACTTGTATGATAAGCAGCTCGCTTTTAAATAAAAGTTTTGCCATTACTAATAGTGTTATTTTGTACCATTATAAATAGCATTCAAAATAATTTTAAATAATTATTAACAAACCATAAAAAATATTATTGGTTCTATATAGTACTGAAATAATAATGTATTATATTATTTTTTTTATGCATAAATATACTTACCAACTACTTCTTACCATTTTAATTAGCCGATATTCAATTATATTTAGTGGGAAATACATAATTATTTATAAAATAAATACTAATGTAATACAGCTCGAACTACAAGAAAGTCACTAATAAAATGCAAGGTTAAATATACTCAAGATTGATTTATTTTAAAACCCTTTTTCAACTTAACAATTTTTTAAATGTTAAATTTTGATTGCACATTGAAAATTATTAAGTTAACTAATTGTTTGATTGTAATAATATATTATAATTTATTAAATTAACTGAAATATTGTTTTATATTTTATTTAGTAAAATATTTTTAATAATACTTAAAAATTGTAAATCATAAACATTTTACAGTTAAAAAAACTTTAATATTTGTACATGTCAATATAATGTGTCATATTCCTTCTAAATTAATAATTGTTCACTATATTTCTGCCATTTAAATTGAGAAACAAGTCATATCTTTTAAAAAAAGTATACTTAATCGAAATAACATTGAACTTTTTTATTTTTATCTGGCGTTTTTTAATTATGTTACGACTTCTGATAGTAAAAAAATATATTATCTTTCCAAGAAAAATAATTATTTCTTTGTATATTCAATAAATATTTAAAATGTTCTTAATTTTTTACTTCGGAAGTAAGATGAAATTAATTTCGATTTAAACGTTAAATATTTTATCTACCTTTTTGAAAATTTTACTTTTTATGTTCATTATTGCTTTTATTATTATATAGTTATGAAATTTATATATTATTTACTGTATATATTACAATTATTCAATAAAAGTAAATATTTTCTTATTATTTTCATAATAATAACAAAATGTCAAACACATAATAATTAAATTTATAAATTTCTAAAGTTTATTTTTTTTTTTTGTATGATATATTCTTATATAAGTTACTAATTTAAATTAAGTACATTTAAATTTATAGAAATTATAAAAGTATCTGTAGCTCAGTTCTGTATTCTTTACATTTTGGAATATTTTTGTGGTTGAAAATTCATGAAAATTGAAGGTGGTGACAATTATTTATTTGAATTGTTTTTTATAAGAAATTAATAAATTTTTTTGAATTATTTATTTCATCGTATCATTCATTATTTTATTTTAAATTCTGAGTGAAATTAAGAATTTTTTAATTTAACTATGGTGAGTGTGTCTTTTTTTCTTTTGTGACTATGTTACGATTTCGACCGGAAAGTGTGCTTCGATTATCACCAAATAAAAAGTAAAATATTTGATATGGATACCAATGATACTTTCTGGGGTTGTATTTTGAATTCCTCGACAATTTTCCAAATAATTGAAAAATTGCAAAAAAAAAAAAATTAAAATTCCTACCGAGATCCTCACCTCTAAAATCACATATTATTTTGTGACCTACTATACTCTTCTTTTTTTTTTTTTTTTTTTTTGAGTCTGTGTACACGATTTCGGCAAGAAGGATTGCTCCTATTATCATAAATATAAGATGTTTCTGATAAAAAATGTGATCTATTTGATACTTTGAAATGTAGTCATTTTACATTTTGTAGTTATGAAATACCTATTTTAATGAAGCTTGTTTATAGATACTTGGAATTTCTGATTTTCTGAAGAAAAAAAATTAATTTTTTTATTTTGCTATAGTTCAAACTTTAAAATGTACTGTAAAATTTGGTTCTTCTACTATATCAACCATCATTTAAATTTAAACTGATTCACCTGATTTCTTTCACTTAAAATTGTTTTATCGAAAGTAATGGTACATTGGCATCAAGTTTACAATACTAATACAGCAATACAGCAATGTATCACTATATTTCACTCGACCAAAGAATTTCACCTTTTTTTTATATTATACTTATATTTTATCGCCAAATTTAAAAATATTTTATTAATATTTATATGTAATTATGGTGTTAATTTAAACAAAATGTATATTAAAGTTCTTGTATATGAAGAAATTTGTGATTTAATTATATCAGTGATATAAAATAATTATAAAATGCTTTTAAATAGTTTTAAAGTTGAAATTATAAAATAGTTAAGTAAGAATTACTATTATATTTTCTAATTCATATTTTTCTTAGGAAACCAATTAAAAGTATTGTTTTGTAATTTTTTTCAAACAATTAATATTTTTTCATTTAAATTATGATTTTTATTAAATAGTATTCAAAGAAAAAATAATTGTCATTGATTCCATAGTGTATCATTTAAATTTTATAGTTTACCTACTCCTTAGATGTTTAAGACAGTTTATTTACTTTCCAATTGTACCATATAGTTTTTTTTGTCCATCAAATCATTCCTTCAAATAAATAGTGTATAATTAAAGAAATAATAATCCTAGGGAACTTAAAAATATTTATTTGTTCATATATATTATATATTTTTATAATGTATAAATATTATTTAAATATAATAATAAAATATAATACTAGGCCTATTTAATATAAGTTATTTATACGTTAAATGTGTGAATTATTTCTTCAATCTTCTTCTTTTGTTAAATTATTAACAGATATAGTTGTAATTTTGTTTATTTTAATTCATCGTTAAATATATCAATTTAACAATAATAAATATTCTTAATTAAATCTTTAGTTATGAACAGTCATATTAGTTAATTTATAACATTCTATGGAAAAAATGTATTTACAAAACATGTTCAGTTGAAATTTGAATGTACCAATTATAAATTCAATCTACAGTTACTTGAATGTATTTAGATAAATGATTGAAATTAATTTATAATTTTTAACCCGTATAAATGTTTAGTAAATAATTCGTTACAAATTCAAAATCGATATTCATATTTTTTCTTTGGTTTGTGTGTAGCGTATATGCAATATGAACTAGACAACACTAAAGTAATACAATACCACGGTACATTAGTGGAAAAATCGAATTGTAAAATGGGTGATGTGTTTTCTCTATGGGATTCATAGTGGATTTTATATAGCGTGATAGAGAGTCGATCAAAGATAAAATATAAAAAAAAGTCCGTAACCAATGTACAATTTCCTGTACACATCGATCATCCTATATACTTATGTGTAATATTGTCAGGTGTATATATTATTATACTTTTTATTGAGTTACATTGTTGTTATTTTCGTGTATTCTATTTATTATTATTATGTTTTTTTTACTTTGCTATAGGTGAAACAATCTCCGTTGTACGAACCATCGGCTGAGTTTGACTTGAACTGCGAATTTTTAGCAGACATGATGCAGTGTTATTCTCAACCACCAACGTCTTCTAGACATTTTCAAGTTAGTTAATCTCTTATAATTTTAGATTATTCTTAGAATGTAGATATTTATTTATTAAAATTCTGGTTCCCACTTGAAAATTATATGGTCTTAAATCTAAACACTTGTGTATAAAGTTTGAAATTCGGTAGGGCTGAAACTCAGTTATTTAATATATGCTTTTACATCACAAAAAAACATGTAGTGAAGTGATTAATTTTTTTTTAGGAGGGATATATATTAATTCTTGGAGAACTGCCCACAGTCACTCTATTCGCGCTTATGTTTTTATAATATATTCGTATTTAATTATATGGCCCAATATTAAATTAAAAATTTCGATCTAATTAAAATAACTGTAATATTTCATTGAATTGTCAATGATTTATTCAGATAATTTTATTGTGTAGAAATTATGTAGGTAATGTAATATGAGGTATTTAACTATCAATTATTACTCTAACTGTCTATCTAAATTATAAATATTTTTAACAGTATTATTAATCTAAATTAGTTTTAATGAATCGATATTTTCAAAAATGATGTTCGGCTTTCAAAATATAAAATTGTTTAAAAATGTTTATAAAAAGTAAAAACTTTAAAATTATTGTAACAAAAATGAAAAACAGAAATTTTACTAAATTGTTTTGTATGATAAATAATAAATTAAAACTAAATAAAATTAATTTGTTTGAAATATAATACAAATTATACTAATATATTTTAAATAATTTAATTTAATTTATAATATACGACAACTGTAATTAATTAGTAGTGAATAACAAAAAAATAATTGTTTTAGTATTTAATTGAAAGAAATATTATAATCATAGGCACAATTTAAGGAGGAGGTGGATTTTTGGAATTTTTTCACATAGTAACTTCGAGCTCTTCAAGAATAAATTAATTGTGGTTGGCTATAGTACTATATAGCAACGATTCCCAAAACGTGTTCCGTAAAACCTTAGGGTTCCGTGGAACAATCTCACGGGTTCCGCAAGATTTATGTGGATATTGAGAGTAGTAATGATCTTTAAAACATTTTTTGAAATATTTGTTTTTCAATAAATTAATAATAAATTGGAGTTGAGTTGGAGTTAAAGACATTGGGGTTCCATCAAAAAACAAACTATTTCTGATGGTTCCGTTGGTCGTAAAAATTTAGGAACCAAATATTTATATAGGATTTTAGCCTCCTAGACCAGCCATGTTACTGATTATTATAGTTTTTATAAATACCTAATACAGTTATCTAATTTCAATTAATTACATTTTTAATACAATTATTAAATAAAAACTTATGAAACAAATATTTTCCATTAATAATATTTAATTTAATTTCTTAAGAAATAAATTACATTTGTGTTGGTTACATTATTGTTTATTATTATTGTTTTAAATACAAAATGTATTGTTTGATTATGATTGGTGAAGATATATATTAAAATGATATTGACGTAAACATAAAATATTATTTTTATCATTTTTATAATATGACAATGTGTAATTCATATATTCATAAAAATTAAGACCTATTTCTTTTTTCATACCTACTTATATTGTAGTTTTAATTCGGCATAATTTTAGCACTAAATATATTAATTTAAAATATATTATTTGGTAATTATGCTTTCAGTCCATAAATCGAGCGATTATAATTCATTCACAATTCATTATTCCTTCGACTGATTTAAAAATTGTTTTTTTTTCAATTATTCTATTTTTTCTTAGTAGAGGAAATTGCAATTGAAAGTCGTATACCGAGTACCTCTTTTCGCATTGAGCATGGATTTTGTTTTTCATCCGTTGTAAACCCGTGTACCTTCATTTAAACATGAATACATAAATATCTAAAAGGAAATTAATTATACGGAGTCAATAACCAAATCGAGTAATTGCCTTTACAAAACTGAAATACAACATTGGCGATGGACTTAAAATGTGTGTTGTGTATGTCTATAGCTCTGCGAACGCGTCTCGAGTTCGCGGAGCGTGACGGCAGTGCAGTCTCCGCAAGGCTGTAAATACGCCTCTCTGTTACGCCTTCTTTTATTATTATTATTATTATTATTACTATTATTACTATTTTTTTTTTTACGCCATGCACAAAACCAGAATCCGTAGTGTGTATATTCGACCTATTTCATTAATTCAAATTAAATTTAGTTTATTTTTTATGAATTTCAACTTAAAGTCCCGTTTTGTATGATATGTAAGTTAATGTATAATATATAATCATAAACGCCATCGACGAAGACCACGACGGGATATCTTGATTTGTCCACATCCATTCATAGTATAGTAATCTATGTGAATCTATCGATACTATTATTGTTATTATTATTATTATTATTATTATTATTATTATTTAATTATTTCTATCAACAATCGCTCATTCGTCCATTTAATACACACACGCCCCATACAACAACATAATGATAACGTGCCGCGCTGCAGCGCGCGCGTATGTTTGCAGGAAGTATATATATTGCAGGACGTCTATTGTGTTCCTCGAATAGAGAAAGTACCGCTATACGTTGCGTGCATTGATATAGGCGTATAGAAAGTAGCGTTTTTATTTTTATTTAATTTTTTTATTTTTCGCTTTTTGTTTACAAGCCTTGTGCTTGTTGGCGGCAACGCCGACTCGACGCAAATCACGGTTGCCGTTTTAATAGCCTGCCGGCAACGATCAATGTTTCTATGTATCGTTCGCCAATAATGATCAATAGCTTTGTGTGTACGATTATATACTTATATCTCTACATATAAACATAATATAGTAATAATAAGTTATTACTAATAACGTTCTCTCCTCATGTGATTATTTTTACCCCGTTATTCATTAGTTTCACTTTGGATTGATCCATATTGATTTTAGCGTTTCTTAACGTTCGCAGTGTGACGCAACATGCATCTAGATTAAAAACGATATGAGTGAACTTGTTTGCAGTATTACATATATAAATAATAATAATACGAGTATATATATTATATGAATAATAATTTATTATCTTATTAATTATATTTCATATAAAATATTGCCTATTAAAATAATAAAATAATAATTATTTTATTCAGGAATTAATTATAAAATATGAATCATGTATACATGTGTACATTCTAGTTTTAATATTTAATTTTACTCTCAAATTGGCTTTAATAATAAAACCAATATTTAGACTTTGTCGTTATGTTTAATCAATAATAATATATTAACTCAGAAATCAAATCAGCTAATATAATATAACTATAAACATATTATTTGCACATTGTTGATTTGCATGATGTTATATACATGAATACATCACTATATTTTTATAACAAATGAATCTTAATAAATCATAATGTCTATCATATATTGCAAGTGCAATGCATGTAATGGTCCTAAATAATTTATTATTGTGACACACTTTATTAATCACCTCATCTACAGACTAAATATATCTAAACACTACTATTTAGACATGTTGAAACCACAAATGGTTGTTATATTTCATGTTTTATATTGTCATTTAGTATTTAAAATAGACATATTTAACTATACAATCTAATAATAATATAAAATATCTTAACTCTTATTAAAAATGTTAGTCCCTAAGTTAAAATATATATTTTTGAAAATGCTATACAAAAAGTTAAATAATTTTTGTATGCTTGTTTATATTACATTATATCTATACTTAAATTTAATTTTACTAAAAATATTTTTTTTGTGTTAAAAATAACTGCGAAATTCTGTTAAAATTTATTAAATATTTTCAATGAATTGTCTATAATAGCGATGAACAAAACTTATTCTATATTATATATGTATAAAATTCTGTGTGTTTGCAATGATTAATATAATAAACTGTTTATTTCAGTAAAATACATTTTAATATATAAACTGTTATTAATACATTATATTCGTATTTGCAGTATAATTATATACTATTAAATAGGTATGTACTGTTTTAATAAAAATAGTGCATTTAATAAACTTTTCTTATTATTGTGGTTTTTCAAACGTTCATTTCATTCGTTTGTGAGGGTTTTCTGATTAGGGCAACAAGGTCGTATATTCAAGGTTTAACCATCCACCTAACTTCATAGAATGGGCTTAAAATCTTTCAGTTTTTTCCGCTACTATCGTATCCACTACATTCGTCAACTGTTGGAAATGTGTCAATGTGAACGAGCTCCTAGTGTACCCGTGTGTACTAGTTGGTATTTAATATACGTGTGCGTTAAAAGATTGATTGTTTTGTTGCAACCATCGTGGTAGTAATTATCAAATTATATATATACATATTATTGTTGGATCTGTCTGAGAAAATGATGTCACCAACACATCTATCATTGGACTAATTACAATTTTCGAGGTTTCAGATCGTGTACAGAGTATATGTGAGTGGATGTAGAGGTGGAACAAAAAACGCGCTCGGTAAAAAGAACAACAACACTAGAAAGGAAAAAAACAAATACCATTCTTGATGCACAACCTCTTAATTATCACACATAAACTTGACGTGAAGCCAAAGTTACTTACATTGTGTGTGCGTATTTATATGTTATGTACCTGTTTATGTTTTTTTTTATACTAAACACGGCCATTAAGCCGACACCTACTGATTTGTGTGCCGAATTTGCCGTTAAAAAATAATGATAATTGACACACATTTGTCTGCTGGACGCGGAGCGGTGTGAAATAGTTTATAGACGCACACTGTGTATATACGTGGCCGCCAACAATTTTCAGATGATTTATCGCGCACTATTTATGTGCATTGCATCTTTATGTTTTTTCATTGCGTATAAACGCTTCAAAATCATAATAAAGTATTATACATCATATAATATTCGTAAAATTTCAGCATTCAACGCTGTAGAGCTCGTCTAAAATAAACTAAAAGAATATTTTATGGTTTAAATGCATTGAATTTTTATTTTGCGTAGGATTTCGTTTTCTTCTCTCGCTGTAGTGTATCCGTAGGTGTATTTAGACCAATTCAGATGTACACATACGTTCATACTCACGC